GAGCATGCGCTATACAAAGATGAGTGATGAACGAGACCGAGGAGCTCTGGATACAAAAATATATTTAAAACTACTCAAACTGAGCATGACCGCGTTTAGAAAATCCTTGTCACGAGACGAGACTCTTGAGCCTCCTAGTTTTTGTTTGGGCCAAACGAAATTTGTTTGCCTGGTTTGTGAGATGCCGACCTGTAATAAATGTGAACGGCGGGCAAAATCGTTGCTTATTGTGAATGCTGCGAGAGAGGGGAAAAAAGAATGAAAAACAGGTTTTAATTATGGTCGAGCGCTATATTTCGCCATTACAAGGATAAGCATTAATCTGGAAAAGACAAACAAATGTCCGTGCGTTCCCCCCGTGCATTTTCATGTCCAATTAAAATAATAATAACAATGGGAGAGTGAATTAAGGCCCCGTCCACACGTATCCGGAAATTTTTGTATCCGCAAATTTTTTTGCGGATACGGGTTGCGTCCACACGTGTCCGGAAATTTTTGTATCCGTATCCKCAAATTTTTCGAAAACGGATACGTGTGGACGGTGAAAACGATTCGAATACGCTGCGTGTGGACGCAAACATTTTCGTATCCGCAAAAAATAATTTGCGGATACAAAAATTTCCGGATACGTGTGGACGGGGCCTAAGATCAACATTGGTTCGACGTTTACCGCCACGTAGGCCCTCTTAGTCCACTTTCCGACGACGTTAGTCCTACGTTTGCCCTGGGCCTTAGGATGGTCTTTGAACGATCGTTTTTGAACACGCTTTTTAACTCGTGGATACGCGAAGCGTAGAAACGAGTTATTATGAGCGGTCTGAATATGCAAATGTGTCACTCACTCATTCACTCACTAAGATGTTAGCAGATCGATAATTAAACGTYTGTCGATCGTATTACGTCATCTGATTACGAATGTTACACGACACTAACAAGCACAAAGCTCTTATACAATGGCTGCGGTCACACTAGAGAATTTAACTATAGTTATACTTAAGTTTATGACGTAATTTGTAGATATGGTCAAACTTATGTTATGCAAATTTCGGGATTGGGGTCACACTAGTGCTTCATAACAACAAAATGGCGAATAGGATAAATAGCGCTCTTCAGATTCTTGTTCTTTCCAGTTTTAAAAATCGAAACAGAAGAACAAGGCTGCGTAATCTTCTCCGCGTTTTGCAGATCATAAGGCAAAGAAGGATGTACGCGATATCATCTATAATGAATTTGATGCATCTACTACGAGGAAAACGAAGCAGAATAATAGAGCGCAGAATATGGGTTCTCCCGCGATCTCAGTTTTGGTTCAACCATATGATCACCGACCCAGTATACGATTACGATCCATTTTGGAAATGATCCTCAAAGTTCATTTTGTCAAAGCTGTATTTAGTGCAAGCAAAACCTAGAACTAGAACTTCAAAGTAGTACCTGTATGCTGCAGACAATTCTCACAATTACCTGTCAAATAATCTCTTGTGATTGGTTCTTCTTATCTGCTCCGATCTTAACTAAAGCTTAACCCACGCATCTACCTTAGTTAGACCACAGGGTGTTGTATTTTCGATTCTTTCTTTATCTTTGTTTCCTTGAATAAACTAAGCAGCATTCGACTAAGCTGTGTTGTATTTTCGATTCTTTTCTTTACATGTTAACACAAACTATCCGTCTCGACTTACTATTCTTCCCGCTCTTTCTCTCTCTCTCTCTCTCTCTCTCTCTCTCTCTCTCTCGATTTACACGTGCGAATATGCAAATTAAGTTCATAGTCTGTTACGTCATGATCTCGCACACAGGGAACCCGGCTATATATTTTTTGCTTCTTTTAGAAAATCAACTTTGCTCTTTGTGGGTTTCCTGTGTTGTAATCAATTTCCTTTTACATAAGCTGGAATCAGATCGTCGCTGTGTATAAATCGAGCAAAATATTTGGAATCCTTTGGGAATGTCAACAAGCATAAGGAGGGCACAGGAAGACCAATCTTCGAAAAGTGCAACAAGTATCCACGAGTTCGCCAAAGTGCKTTTGATTAGTGTAAAATGATGACAACAATGCAATGCAGGCCTTAGCTTAAATGGTCAACCCATGTAGAAGACATCTGTGCTAAGGCTAAGAATCTCTTTTCCTCAGCAAATAGAATAATGTTAATGGAAGATGTAATAAGGATCGTTTTACAGGGAGCGTGCTTTGTTTGGCAAGATTTGGGCTGAATACAGTTTATTGACCGTAAGATGGACAGAAATCTCAAAGAGTTGATACTAAAAAACGAAGAAGAGCGACGACTTGCCGATCAATATCGCGAACAAATGGACAAACCGAATGTTCGTATGAAAAAAAGCCTTGAAGCGTCAAGTCGATGAGGCTGAAGAGGAGTTGCGTCGTACGAATTCGTCTAAGCGTAAGATGAAATTTAAACGTGCGGCTCGCAGCTATGGAGGTTGAGTAATATTAAAAGTACCTTTTTCGCCTTGCAGTTTTAAAATATCTTAGTATGGCTTCTTTTTCTTTGTACATTTTAGGGGTTGCAGTGGTGGTGGTGGTGGTAGCAGCCGTAGCAGCTATACAACACCTCCCGATTCCGGGCAGGAACGCGAAGGGGCAACGTTTGAGCCCATGAAAGAAGAAGCTTCCGCCGACGTCCTAGAAGAAGACTAAGTTCCTCAGCCTGTATGTTTTATAAAATTCGATATTCTGCTCAATAGAAAACAAAAGTTACTATTCCCCGGTTAAAGTATTTAAGGAGGCCGCACCCCAACAGAAATATCTATATGTTTGCTATTTTATCTTGCGTTCAATTCTTTTCAAAATAATGAAGTTAAATATTAAACTAGGGTGTACCACATGATCACTCTTTGGTCCCTTGATTTTGAAAAAATTCTAATTAGCTTGAATGGACGCCTGTACTTAGAATATTCAACGAGTCTGGTATTAACGTAACATTCATGTTTAGAATGCCAAACGCGTATTCAGAAGACCTGCGTTTGAGAGCCGTTTGGCTTCACGTTTTCATAGGTTGCAGCGAAGTCGAAACCGCTTATTTACTTGCATTATTTCTTATATCTATCAAATGTATTCTTCTTTTCCTGTTTTAGTACTTTCAGCACAACTTTAACAGCCTCCATGGTTTTAGTAAAAACAGTGGATGATGCCGACCACAGCATGCATATTATTAACGTACTTCCCATGTGCCATTTCGGTCTCAGCTTCTATGTTCTATGTTTCTGAACCCGACAACGATTCTTCAATTGAGTCAAGACAATATTAAGTAAGTACTTCATATTCTCTTGATTGAGTTTATACCAAAAATATATATAAACATATAACATAATATGAAAAATATAAATGCATATACACCTACTTGCAAGAAGGTTGTCATACAAGAATAGAACATTTGTAATTTAGTAAATTAGYGATTTAGTAAATTTACCGATTAGGAATAAATTATCACAGTGACGTTAGACTCGAATTCATCAGTAAGAAAAAGGTAATTTTGGACGACACGATGTAACAGGCATGCAGATGAAGATGTAATTACAAAGTTAAAACGAAAATGAAAAAATAAAAAATAAGATCAAGTATTTGTTTTTGTACGTTTCTGCTCGTGTAACTTGGCTATCATGCAGTAAATAAATAGGTTGACATAATAACGATACTAAAAGAATTTTCCTTTAGACGGGGAAAATTAACGTAACTAAAACTACGAATTCTAGGGCTGCCTGGCGTTTCTGTTAGTATGATTTGGTGACCCGAGTTGGTTTATTAATTGTTGTACTATTTGAATTATTTCAATGGTTTTTCACTTGTTATTACTCTTTTTTGCCGCAATGTCACAATTCCTATTTCATATCAACTAAGATGTGTAATGCCCCCTTATCTATAACCTTGAATCATAAAAGAAAACTTTTACTCCCCCACCCCTACCCCTACTCCCAAAGCAAAACGCGCTGTTCAAGAAAACGCTCTCACAGCCTTTCAAACCATTATAGTTTTATTCGTTCATATCCAGGGGCGGATGCAGGATTTTTTCAAAGGGGGGGTTGTAGCATTGATTGAGGTACTTGTTTGGMGGGAAAGTAGCACAGGGCTCCCAAACTTAAGTAGGTCTTATGATAATGATTATTTGCTGCAGACGAGCATGGTTGTTTCAGGTCCCACACACGGCGTATAGGGRAAAAAAAGCGAGCGAATTGTGTTCGGCACCTGTTTTAATAAACTCGCGATGCTGTTGGTGTTGTCATGAAAAAATGATAATAATAAATCACGATGGCTCTCATAGGGGGGGTTGCAACCCCCAAAACCCAAAAGAAGGCTTACTGAGTATGATTCAATATATATCGATCACAGAAGCAGTTCACAGGCGAGAAGCGAATCAATATATATGCTTCAATCGGATTTATTTCATTTTATCAAAGCATCCTCTTCCATAGCACACAGGTAGCCCACATTGGAAGTAAACATCCAATCAGCGTTGATGATTTTCCCGCTCTTTGTCCCAAGTTATTTACTCATAAAATTTTGAGCAATCCTTCCGGAATATCTGATATCTTCAGCCGAGAATCTATAATACCTGTGTCAGACATTCCGGCTTACAATACAAGATTTTCATCTAATAATAATTTCTATAAAAAACGAGTAAGAACAAATTATGGTAAATTTACATT